GGGAGAGGCGTTCGACAGAATTTGTGTTCCGGTGTGCAGGTGCGGAAGCATGAAAACCTTTTGAAATACATTTTGTTGACATTTTGTCTTGCTTTCCCAGGATCTTCAGAAAACTGATGTTTATAAACTGCCATTTTTTGTGTATAATGGGTGTGCTCGCTCTAGAAAAAAAAAGATTTATATCTTGTTTTATCTAACTAAATTGACAAATGTAAACAGTTTTAAATGAAAAAGGACTGTACCACCTCCGTACAGTTTTTGACACTCATTCTTGAAAAGCACAGAGTATTGTGATTTTCACTGCGTCACTGACAGTCTTGCAAGCGATAGAAAAGAACCATCATCTAAACCAAGATTTGACTCATATATTACTGTTTGGCTCACATCGTCTGATAACATTCTGTGACATCAACCTGGTAATGCAGTAGGTCCCCAGACACTCAAACATACCTGGAAATGAAAGAGCAGACACACTTGCCAAACGGGGATCTAGACAGGAACAGCCCAACATTCCAACTTCATACAACACTGCAAAACAAATCATTAAAAGCAACAACAAACAAGATTGGATGAACAGATGGGCCCTGGGAAAGACAGGCAGAGCAGTTTTCAAACCTAATATTACCACAACAAAAAGGAAGGACAATATCAACCACCTACAGAGAAAGAAACAGACCACGATCTTCCGCCTACAAACAGAACATAATGTACAGCTCAACTTCCACCTGAACAGAATAAACCCAGAACTTCCCCCAATGTGTCCCTTGTGTGACTCTGCATAATTATGAGACTGTGGATCACCACCTGTTCCACTGCACAGCCCTAAATAACATCAGAGCTACCCTTCTCCCTCCGAGACCTAACATTGACAACACACTGTATGGAACATTACAACAACTGTAGCAAAGCTGCACTTATTACTACGTGGCATTGTAAAGAAGGGCAAGAGCCCAACTGTTGCTGGATCGATAACAACAACAAATGAGAAAGGAACGTCATGTAAAATGCCGTTGGCTCCTTGTAATTTAGGGTAGGTAAGTAGAAGAAAATACAAGGGCAGGAAGCTCATTTGGAACGAGCTTGGAAGGATGGCTCAGAACAGAGATAAATGGAAGGGGCTTGTATGTGGCCTATACCCTGCCAGGGGTGAACGGCATTGATGATGATGATGATGATCAGAGCTATATGCGCCAACAGCAGAAGCCCAGTATGACCACAAGACGGAAACACAAACTGGTATTTTAGGAGTACGACAGGGATACCGTTTACTCACCCTTCTTTTCAAAGTCTGTATAGACAAAATAACGCACGACACAAACCAAAGCCCCAGAAAGTCTAAATCAACTTGTATTTGCAGACGGCTAATTTGCTATTCATCCAAACCAACAAAGCCCCCAAAGACATATATCGAACTCAACCACGGCTGTGAGAAATGTGACGTGAGAATATGCACACCAAAAACAAAACTCATGAAAGTCAGCTGAAATCATAGTCCCCTGAACATTCAAAGGAACAACAATCAACTAAAACAGGTCAAAGAGTTTAAATGTCTTGGCAACATTTTACTGGAAGTGGGCCCATACATAGAGAAAAACAATTAATTCGAACTCAGAAAGCCAACACCGTCACCTATCAGCTAGCAACCCTTCTATCTCATCCAAACATCTCTATGAGCATAAAAAGACAGTTTATTACTCCACTATTATACATAAATTCTGCTACCAATGCTAGGCTTGGACACTAAGTAAAACCGACGAAAGCAAAATTATTGCATGCGAGATGAAAATATGTCGCCGCAAAAACCCAAAACATTAGAAGAAGAGACAGCGGGGGCATGAAGCTGTAAGAGCAACTCTTGGCCTGGAGTAGTGTCTGCATTTGATAGAAAAACCAAGAAACAAAATTAAATGGTTTGACCAGCTCTTACGAATGTCACCTAATAGTCAGTCAGCCTAAAGAGCTTATAAAGCTTATAATAATACCAAGTACTAAGGCTGCAAAGGAAGAAGTAGGCCAGGCAAAAGATATAGATCTATTGAAGGTGTCAACGGAATCCTGAGAAACTACAACATTTCAATTGAAAGCTGCAGAGTTGGCTTACCGTAGAAATCTGCATGATGATGATGATAAAGATGATGATGATGATGATGATGATGATGATGATGATGATGATGATGATGATGATTCATTACACGGCAGTACACATAACACTGCCACTATTTGTAATCATAGCCTTTTCTTTTCTCCAGTGGGTTTGCTACACCTCGCCTAACCACTGCACCACCCACGTCGACATTTTAATCCTATCCGTACGTCGTGTTTTACTATTGTATCCATTGGACGTAGGGAACTCGGTGCCACCACCTTCAAAGAGGAAATTTACTCAGTAATCCGATCCGTACGCTTTGCATAACAGTCTGTCTAAATACATTTTTAAAGAAATACTACTGAAAGTTTCAAAGAGATCTTCACACTAGAAGTATTCTAAAACGTGAAGAATACAACCCCAGAGGTACAAAATGACCCCAGGGCGTATTGATAGGGTTAAGAAGTGTTATTGCCAAATTTCGGAGAGATAGAACACCCTTTAAACACAATATGTAATGACTCATTGATCGCAGGTTTTCATGATTGGAAGTTTGGTCATGCTGGACAAAGTATACTGATTTCCATTGTGCACGACATACGAGTAGTTACCCTGTGGTGTTCTATACTCCTTTTATTTACGTTGGGAAATGACTCGTCACACGTACAAAGACAACATGCAATCGTTCAGTCAATGTTTTTGCGGGTCGCTATAATGAATTTTCGCACGAGTTTATGTATAAATGATACATGTACATACCTACCAACTTATCACAAACTGCAGAAGCCCTCACTTCAAAGCAGACTACAGTAAGTATAACGTTGGCATAATATACAGTCAAGTACGGATGATTTGATGTTGTCGGGGGAGTGAAAAGAAAAGATCAACCAAACCGAAGTTCAACTTAACCGTTTTGGACTTCTAAAGAAGAAGAGGTGCTAGGACCTGAGGAAAAAATCAATTTAAAACGAAGATTAACCTCGAGCGAGTTCCACACAAGCGGAGTCTACTGTACCGGCATGTAGTTTTACCTGAGGTGTAGCAGTTAAGAGCTTCACCGTCGCTCACTGACGACCTGCATTCAATTCCCGTGGGGTAGAATGAATTTTTTATCGAGTATCTCGGTCTTTCTGATGTGACGTACTATCCCTCTGAAACCCGCCGCTCACTACTTAAAAGGGTGCACCCATTTTGAGATGGTCTCAAGACCAACTAAACGCGATCTCAAGATGATCTTAAGACAGTCTTGAGATCACACGAGACAAAAATCCGGACTGCTCGGTTAGAAATCTCAACAAATCGTGAGATTGCTTGAATTCAGAACCATCCTGAAAATTATCTGTCGGATTGCAGATCGGGTTACCCGACGCTTAAAACAGAAGGGTGCAAAAGTCAAAATTTTGCAAATCTGACTTCAGAATCTTCATTAACGTCAAATTCTGGTGAAACTTGATACGAATCACTGCTATCAGACGTTTGGTGTTTTATTCTTTGCGTGAGCTAGCCAGCTAGAAAGATCTATATCTATGAATACATACTGAGATACAAACGGTATGAGTGTTTGTGGAAAACAAAATCTGAATACTATTGCAATCAAATTGTAAGAGACAGCGCTTTCAACAATTCAGTTGTATATGGGCAAAGTTTTGACAAGAAATTGTCGGAAATGCATAATAAAAAAAGTAATAATTTAAGATGCACGCTCAGAAAGGAGTACATGTATAAAAAGGTTGAACGCGGAAAAGTTTCTGATGCTAGAACTCAAGGCATTTACGCACCAAGACTATGATATTATGAAGAGCTTTTGTTCCTCAAAAACCAGGATCTGTGTCCTCGTACATACGTAAATATAATTTTTTTAATTTTCATAATCCGCAGAGTACAATGTTAGTTCCTTTAAAAGGTGCGTGTGAGTAAATTTCTCTCCCGCCGAAGAAGCCGTTGTTTGCGCATAATGATTTTTTTCGCATTTATTTTCTTGAGAGAAATACTCAAAACTAGGCCT